GAAGAATTTTTGAAATAATAATAATAATAATAATAATAATAATAATAATAATAACAATAATAAAAATATTGGATTTGCCTTTCGTATGAATTATATATGAATATTTGTCACTCGGGATTTTTATTCAGCCTTCGTTTAATGCGCGCATTGTTTGTAGCCGAAAAAAAAAAACCAGTGTGTTCTGTCAGGGCCACGTGAATCTATTTCACGTGTATTGTAAAGACTAAGTAGCCTGCTTATTGTGGCTACTTAGCGTAATGTACAATGGACATGTGAATCCTTTCCACGCGTTCAGTTCTGATCATGACCATTAATTTAGTCAGTTATAAAAAATTATCGAGGGAGCTTCCTACTAGTACTTTTCTATTTTTACTTTCCTTTTCATTTTAGGCTAAATTAAGAACGTATCTTTTTTACCATTTTCTTGACTGTATTGTGGACATTTTAGGACGTGAGGTAGTACATACCTAAAGCTGGTAGTGTCTTTTAAAGTAAAAGGTGTGCCTTTTTGTTCTTTGTTAACGTTAATCCTTTAATTTTCCTTTTTCTTTGGTACTTCTAGACAGTTATTTCACATAGATTTGCTTACATGCTAAAATGTTTGGAAATTGCAACGGTTAATTAAAAAGTGTTATAGGATAGGGTTTCTTTACAATGGCAGATAAGGAAAACGTCACACTTTCACTCGAAGATAAAACCAACATAGAATCTCAAGGTAACGTAAACCATGCATGGAAGTGAGGACAATGCAGCTGAGCTCACAAAACGATGACACGGAGTTGTCAGAGTTTGAAGAAAAAAGCGACCTGCAAGAGACGGAAGATGATAAACAAGGGCAATCAGTCGAGTGGGGGAATTATGTGAATTCATTGATCAAAAATGACGAGGCGGGTGAAGCTGAAAACTATAATAACAATGTCAGAATTGGAACAAAGTAAGATGGTTGTTAATGGTATGCATTATTATTTTACAACAAAAGGGCTCAGTCATAACTTTCCTATGTACTCCCTTCTTACTGAAATAGTGACCAAGACTTCATCAAAGGAGTTAAGTCCCCTGTCCAGAATTCAAAAGAAGAAAACAAGGATAAAAAAGTAAAATTTGTTTCTTCATTTTCATGAGAAAACGTTAACCCTTAACATTTGTTCGTTTGTTAAATTAATCCTTGACCATAATTCTAATTTGGGTACAGTTCATAATCATTGAAGGTGGAGGCATTCTAAGGTGACTAACAAATGGAGTATTCAATTTGTTGTTGTTGTTGTTTTGATCATATCATATTGATCCCTTCAAGTCCATGATCGACTGACATATTATTTATGTTTTAGCGTGGGTCAACGGCAGCTTGTATGTTTAGCAAAAGCGCTTCCCTATAAGGGAAAAATCCTGATCCTCAATGAAGCCACCCGGCTCCGCGGTTGACATAGAAAACGGATGAGCTAATTCAGCAGACGATTCGGCGGGAGTGCGCTGACCGTACACTTGTTTACAATTGCTCACAGGCTCAACATCATCATGGACTATACCAGGTAAAACTTTTGAACGGTAGTAAATAGAGTACTTGACGGTAGAAATGTTTCCAATTGATTAAACCGCCGTGCTTTTTATAACCGTTGAGTGTATAAAACAGTGTAATGACAACAATGTAGATCTGCATGTTAAAGCCAGAATTAAAACAGGGCCGAACAGAGGCGGATCCAGGGGGAGGGTTGAGGAGGTTTTCAAACTTGTCTGGCTACCCATGTCTATCCCTTTTTCAAACCAAAAATAATATTATAAGTCATAATCTAAGTTCCAGTTCAATCGATCATTACAAGAAGACTATAGCTTTTGCTCTTCTTGGCTCCTTTATCATCTAAATGCAAGATCGATTTTCTGAAGAAGATCGCCACGCCCGCCATCTGCTTTGTGTCGTGCCATCGATTATAGTAAATAGTGCAATGAAGCTAGATGATGAAGTAGAAGGCATGCTATTCTGGAAGAAAGACAATTTCTCAATAGGCCACTTCCGAGTTCCAAAAACCCTCACTTTCCAAACGAGGCCAAGTGCACAACCTTTCTTGTGAAAATGAGTTATATTTGCACGAGAATGAAAAATTATTTCCATATCAAAGGCTGAGCACTTAACCTCGTTTTGATACAGAGGCCCGTGGGAACTCGGAAATGGCCTATTCCCTCGGAAGTGAGGTACGTAGATGGAAAACACTCTGGCAGTCAACAGATAGGGAGCTTCCAAACAACCTGCAGCCTACCAATCACAAGCGCAGTTTCTGAGCCGTCGTTCTCACTGATAAAATGAATCAAGACCTGCTCTAGGTCAACAACGCCTGACGAGCGATTCTCTGATCTCGCAGTAGATCGCCATGTACTACTCCCAGTGATTAGAGGAAGACGAGATATGCCAGCAAGCCTTTATAAAGGCTCATCCAAGAAAGCTCTTTCATGTCAGTCTGTTTGATTGAATAAGCGCGTAAAAAAAGAGACAAACAACTATCGTTGTCGCACTACACCCTTAGTCCTTAATAATAGTGTCTCAAATTTGACAAATTTATACCTCTGAAATCAAAATGTCGAAAATCTACGTATTCAAACATTACCCTCCAACTCCCCCCTCCCCCATTCCTTTGGCCCTGGGGTGTTTGCCTTGAACTCTCATACTTACAACCCCCTCTTTGAAAAAATCCTATATCCCCCCCTGCGGAGTAGGTTGTCATTATCTTAAGTGTGAAAACAAATAAAGAGAAAGAAAGCCGGAATGTAGTCTGATATAATTTTATATTAGACGTTATGTTAAGCCTTTCTTGTAAGAATTGCCAAGGAACCAAGAGTAATGTCTCAGAAGCCATGCGCATAAGTAAATTACTGCAAGAAATACTAACCCAGAGCTCAAAGCAAAAATGGAGGAGTATTGCAGCCGATAACCCGGAAAGACTCGGCCATAGGTTCTAGTCCTTAGTGACGACATGGGAACTCGAAAGCTCCTTTTTTCTGATCTTCTGATCTTTTTTTATCTCAAACATTATTACTCTAGCTACATTTTGTCTGTTCACACATGCTTTTCCAATCACAATACAATACAATAGATTAATTTCATATTATAAGTGGAAAATGCGCTTTTTAGGGTACCTCCATACAGGTATTTACTTCAGGAAGCCAATATAAAGTCATTAACGATGGCATATTCTAGTTATTTCCGCTGAATATTGGTACAATTATAACTGAGAATTAAAATTAACTTTTGAACTTATGGCCGGTGTGCTTCTTGAATTTTCAAAACGTGTGACATTCTGTGAATTAGACGTACTCGTGACGTTCTCGTACTCTCACAATTTACTGTAGGAGTTGAAAACTGGACAAACACTTTTTCTGGTGAAAAAATAGATTAATAATGACATCCTGTGCACAAATTGAACGATGTTAAGTTTGACATCAGCCGACTTTCACAGTTAATAAACACTTCTGTTTTGTAGTCTGTAAGGAGGTAGATCTGTATTCCGAGTCATTTGAACATAGGCATTAAACCGACCAAGCCATAAGCCCTTATATGAACTTCATACTTCCTCAATCGTGCACAGGTATATATACAGTTCATTAAGGTAGCATTCAGAAAGTATACAACACAGTATCTTTATCCTCACCGGAAAACGATGCGAAACAGAAGCACAACTATAAGCATACTTACCAAAACGTTTGCCGTATATTGCCCACCTTGCATGTAGGACACATCACAGATTGTTAATAAAAAGTTCAAGGATTTTTCCGGCCATCTGTATAATAAGACAAGGGCTTTTTAACATGGACGTTCAAACTACCTATATGCAAATTAATCCATCTCAGATTTCCGAAGGTAAGTGTTTATTTATTTAAAATCTGACTTGTAACAGATTTCGTCTTTGTCCCGCATCCTTCAATGAGACGTATACCGAGCGATAGCAGCGCAGAAATTGTAAAAGTATCATGACATAAATGTATTGTAACTTTTCAACCTTTGTTAAAGGCGGCTAAATAGTAAATCAACGAAATCGGAATTCAAAAAATAAATGAAAGTTGCTGTCGCTGTTGAGGATCAAGCCGGTAGTCTCTCGGAAGGTATTCTTTGCACCCGGGGGGGGGGGGTACTCCCTAAATTGGGCTATATAGGTATGTGCGGCCCCAAAGGGTAGGGTTTTTCAGCCGTTTTGGTCATAAATTGGGTATCGATTTTGGCTATTTTGCCGCCATTTTGGTCATAAATAGAGTAACGATTTTTGCACTGTAGTCTTAACTTTGAAGTATTATAACCTACCTAATAAAAGCAGATAAACATTGCCTTTAACATTGGTCTGAACTAGGGAAATAATTATAAGGCAGGTCTGAAACAGGGTATTGATTTAAGGGTCAGGTCATAAATAGGGTATCAAATTTTTGGTTAGGTCATAAATAGGGTAGGGAAAATCGCAGATTTTGGTCATAAATAGGGTAAGGGTTTTGGGAAGCGGGCCGCACACCCCTACCCAATTTTTCTGCGAGTACCCCCCCCGGCTCTTTGCACGAGGCTTCCCTTCAGCTTCATTCATGCCGTAGCGTGACAGAACACCGTGACAGGTAAAGTGTCATGCGCGACAGTCACACCGGTGCGCATCCACGGACTCTTGCTTGTGAGACTTGTCAGAAACGCTTTTGGCACAGGTAGATAAACTAATGGTTGTAAAATACAAGAAACGTCTTATTTCTCTCGACAAAATATTGTTTTTGTCAATTTTTTAGGAGGAACATATCTGTCGCTATTTTCAAAGCTCGCGCAAGCTCGAAATATAGGCATCGGCGACCATCGACATTGTTGCATAACAATTTGTATGGAAAAAAACCTGTCGTTTCCGTAACCTACGAAAATGGCAGGATTTCAATAAAAAACAGCTTACCTTACATAAAATGTGCGTTACGTCTCTCCTGGGTGTTCCGTAGGCCGATTTATGGCCGTTCTATGGGTTGTACAGTAAACGGTTTTCTCCCTATAAAAAGGTGTTACGTAACAATGCCAATGTTCGCCAATGCTCATATTTCGAGCTTGGTATGCCTGTGCCATTCTCAGCTTTTTTGTGGTATGAAGTAAAGCGTATGTCGTTTTTAAAGCTTGTAAGGAACTCCATTGGCGTGAATATTAGCTGAATAAACTGGTGGTATGAACTATAGAGATCCAGAATGTGGCCACTGTGGACGAGTGAAGCGTACGACTTTGCACGCAGAGGTAACGACGTGTTAACTGTAGATAATAGGAAACTATCGATCATGTTCTTGAACGGTTCTTATAATTTTTACAACAACTGGTTGACTGGAGTAACGCGTCAAGTATTTGAGCATAGTATTAAAGGATTTGGATAAAGCGTTCCAAGCATGAAATTAAGAGAGAGATGTTGTTGTTGCCATTTGAAGGACCTTGAAGGTGTTTGTTGTTCCTGTATTTTTGAAGATTTAAAGTTTTGGTATTTTTCACCAAACTGCCAAGTTTCATAGCTTTTGCGAATAGTACGAATATTAAAGTTTAAGTTTTGCGCCCTGGCCTAAAGTATTATTTTGTAGCCTGATGATCACTGCCGTTATTCAGCTGGTAACGCAACGTGTTCTTGCGTGACGCCTCTTTCAGGAAAAATTGATGAAGAAGAGTGCCTGACAGACAGTGGGGGTAGGACATCATCCTTTCCATCAGACTCAGCACAGGATAAATTTGCTAGGGTAAATATTTTCTCAAAACAGGACAACTGGTAATGTCAGCACAGCTTTATGTCCTTTATTGGCTTTCAATTTTTGTTTTTAGAAAATAATAATAAAACATTTTTTAAAACAAGCTATAGGTAGGTCTACAAAAGTTTATTTGCATCTGGACTAGTAACCAGCAGGTTATAGATTCGACTTCTACTGGGAGAACTCGGGCTTTTTTTTTCTGAGCCGCCTACGTCACTAACTGAAAAATCATCTTTCTTGTGTACTCACCAGGCTAAAAATTTACCATCATATCTCTATCATTTTGCATAAGCATAAATCAACATTCTTGTCCCAGCAGTATGCCAGATGGTCACACAAGTCTCTTGTAGCTTAGCAAATGCCAGGTTCAAATTGACAGCTGTTTTGTTCAGACATAATTTAACTGTCGAGGCTAAACCTGCATTGAAACAGTTATTTATATGAAGTTATAAACATTCAGTCTACATTTGTATTTTTTACAGGAGCCATGCCTGGAAGATAAGGCAAATTGCTTATCAAGAATCACTTTTTGGTGGCTAAACTGGTAACATTAACTGCATTGCTTTCTATCAATGTAGTTCAATGATATTTAATCCTTTTGTAGTTTTTGTAGTTCTTCTTTTTGACTCCTTAGATCTTTAAATCACCCCCCTCCCCCCCCCCTCCCACAGAAAGTACATGTACCCTGCAGTGCACTCTATCTTCTGGGAAAGAATTTTTTTATGGCTGTTATCATAAAAAAATTCAAATGCATCAAAGGGTATATTATAAACTACTTTAACGACCAGTTACCAGTTGGCTTGCTAACTCAGTTGATTAGAGGGCTGTACCAGTATCACACAGGTCAGGCTCTGAGGCTTTCTTTTTGCAATTGCTTAAGGTGCATCTTTCAAGGTGACGACCTTCTTTTCATTTATATGGTATGCAATATATTAGTCAAAAACCACTTCTGAATTAATGAGTAAACTGACCTACCTTCCATACCGGGAGTTTGTGTGGTTTCCAGGGGGACTTTTGGAAGAGTAGGCTTTTTAGATCAGTTACTGGATAAATAGAAATATTTCTTATAAATATTTCATATACTTCACTTTATTAGGATAATATATACTGGTTACAAAAGACCTTTAGAAGATGAAGACCTGTGGGCTCTAAACAGGAAGAGTAGAGCTGCAACCATTGTTCCCAAACTTAAGTCCCTTTGGAACCACGAGGAGAAAAAATGCATGAGGTACTGAATATAATATATATCATTATCAAATGAAAGTGTGGATACTTCACATTTTCTTAGTTTTGTTGTTCATTTAACTTAACAGTGATTTAGTGCAATGAAGCCCCATCTAAAAGTAGTAGTAATCTCAGATTAGGAAGTGTGTTCCAGCTTTTTTAAGTTTACTGTCAAATGTGATGTTATTTCTTAATAACCTGATGCTGCCAAACGCTTCCTATATGTTTTTTTTTAAAAAAAAAACAAAACAAAATCAACCGACTATGAAAAAAAGAGAAAAAAGTATCACCTGGCAGGAGTCGAACCCGAGACCTTTGAGGTGTATCCATTGCGCCATGCAACCATTGCTGAGAGCATATGTGAAATTAATTGCATTTAACATTTTTGTGCCCGGCGAGGTAAATCATTCAAGATAGCACAGAAAATGAAGACGTACGACGAAATGAGAACCACAGAAGGTCTTCCTTGACTTTCACAGGAATCCCAAGATTATTTGTTGCGTTCTCCTAACGTCGAACGCAATAAAGAAGCCCAAAAATTTGCAAGTGTAGGTTTCAGATGGCTTGGTTTAGTCCCAGATAGCTACTCGAACGTCATGGTTTCTTCTTTCTCCAAAAAAATCATGCTTTTCACTGTGGAAAGAAATAATTTGCATGTACACTTCACTAACTTGGCAAGATCGGGACAAAAAACGCCCAAAGTGGAAAACACTCGAAATAATATTCCCCTAGTGTGAATAGAAAACGACTGAAATAGGTGTGATGAAATAATCTTATATTAGGAAACGTTCTTTAGAAAATTATAGGCCATTGTTGTACCTTATCGCAGCAGTTCGTGGGGGAAGGAAACTTGGATTTCTTGACCCAGCCGGCCTCCTTCCTTCGCCTTCTCTCGCTATTCTTATTTCGCAGGTAATTTTTAGCGACATAGTCCCCCTCCAAGGTTCTTGAAGTCCACGGGTTTTACTTTTGTAATTGAAGAGATTTAGAGTCACGTTTACGGCAAAAGGTAAACGCCAGATTGAAGTTGAGAAATTCTTAAAATGGAAACTGGGCAGATAAATACAGCCCAAAACAATTCTTTTGGATAAAACTGGCGTGAAACTACTAATATTTGTGATGAAATAATGAACAGTAAGCGAGAAGTAAAGGGAAAACTTGGTCCAAGGTACATATTCATGTTTGCCGTTTGCCGTAAACGTGAGTCTCTCTATTGTCTTTACAAGAAATTGTTTGAAATGATCATGGAATTCCTCTTTTTTCAGAGAAAAGGAATTTCGAGTCACTGAAGAACCCTTAGCATGTAACGAAACTGACTGGTTGCTTGGTGATGAAAAAAGAAAACAAAGAATTGAAAAGAACAGGAGAAAACCTTCACTTCTGAAAGTGTTATTCAAGATGTTTTCTTCAAACATTTTCAGAGCAATAATATTTAAACTTTTCCAGGACTTCTTACTATTTGTACAGCCACAGTTGTTAAGGTACGTTACAGTGACATGAAAATTTAGAGTATGCCGCCATTTTTGGGATGGTATAACACCCTTATCATAACTGTATACTGCAAAATATGTTATGACCTCAATCAGGACCTCAATATATTAATTGTCTTATCCGCGGCTAGATGGAAAACAAACACGTTTTTTCGAATTTTGGTTTCATGAACGTAAAAACTTGTGTCTGTGAATCAAACCCCTTTAACTAAACAAACTCTTTGGAGGACGACTTCTAATTTTGCTGCGATTTGGAATCTTAAAAACTTTCTAAGAGAAAAGAGTTAAAAAGTTTATTTTGCATATTTTTTGTAGACTGTTAATTGAATACGTGGAAGACGATCACGATACGGCAGGGAGGTGGAAAGGCTATGTTTACGCCTGCTCCATGCTTGTGGCAGCTATAATTCAGTCCATATTTTTGCACCAATATTTTCATACGATGTTCACAATTGGTATGCGCTTGCGTTCTGCTGTCATCGGACTGGTGTATGAAAAGGTTAGTCGTGAAAAGAAGTTTTGATTTTCTTTCCAGGCAGCACTTGATTAACAGGATTCATCTCGCTATTAGAAAGACTTCCTCACTGTTAGTCTCTACACCTTCTACTTTCAAGTTTGTTGGGGACATAACAGTTTTTCGAAAGGGTTCGAAAGGGTTGCAAGACTATAGAATCCCCCAGTAGTTTGGTTTGGTGTGTTTCTCACTTATTACGTTTGAGCCAGCCAGATGCATTTTATGGGAGCCCGGGGTTTCGTTCGTGTCATTCATCATTGAGCAAGTCCTCGTTTGATAAACCTTAAAATCATCATAAGCGTTTACAGTTTTCTGCTATAAATTAGTCTTCCTAGAGTGAGAGACTAAGCACTGAAATTAACTGAAATTAGCTATTCGCTTGTTGCTTTCCAGGCTCTCGTACTGACCAATGCATCTCGTGTGAAATCGACCGCTGGGGAGATTGTGAACCTGATGTCAGTGGATGCGCAAAGACTAATGGACTCCGTGACGTATATAAACATGTTGTGGTCAGGACCTTTCCAAATTGCAGTTTCTTTGTACTTCCTACATCGCACCATGGGCTGGTCAATCTATGCTGGCTTGGGTGTCATGGTTATTTTCACACCGATTAATTTCTTGATCGCCAGGAAAGCCAATAAATTCCAGGTACTTTTTTGAACAATGCGGTTAACATTATATTTCCATTATTTCGCGCATAAAGTGTCCCGGTTACAAGCAATAAGAAATTACAGGTGATTTTGTAGCGCATTATTTGTGCCGACGACGTTAATTTGGGACGATAAACCTCCAGCTATAAGTAACCTACGTATACGAGAAGCTTAGAACAGTAGTATCTTAAACCTCGTTTACATTAATGCTTTTTCGTTTGAAAATGTAAAGTTTACCGTGAAACGGATGGCTGGACTAGTTTTGAAACTAAACTAAAGCTGATGTCAAAACTACTCTTGTACTAAAACCAGATCAAATCGCTTACACTATGGAAGCTCTCAGAGGAGAGTCTATCTACAGGCACGAAAATGCATTAGCATTTACGTTGTTGCGCTGATGGGTCGGGAACTCAGAAACCGGGTTGGTTTTTGCAAAATCGACACTGGTTCCTGAAACAATAACTGGGTGTTTTCTATTTTCCTACTTGCTTTTATAGTAATGGTATAACCAATCATGATTTTCTTTTTACCATTCCTCTAATTAGGCGCAACAGATGTCAGCAAAAGATGATCGAATCAAAATCATAAATGAAGTCCTTAATGGAATAAAGGTTTCAGAGTATGCCTGGTGTTTTCTGCAGTGTGTTTGATATTGTACTATGAAATAACCAATGCAGTTACAATTTTTTTACCCAGATCTTGAAGCTTTACGCCTGGGAAGAGTCCTTCTTGAGTAACATAAACAGTAAACGCGCTAAAGAACTCAGATATCTTCTCCTGTCTGGACTCTTGAGAGCCGTACTGACTTTGATATTTAATACGTTGCCTGTTATGGTAGGTACCAGAGAATTGTAGCGCTTAACCTGTCAAGTCAATGCACCAGCAGGGGGAAGAGTAAAATAAGCTGCAATAGTTCTAGTAACCGGTCAATCTCTGACTCGTCTCCAGTCCTCTTTATTTGGATCGCACGCGGAGGAAGGAACGCGAAAAGCGTAACTGAAGAATCGAAGCGCGGTGGGTGATGGGATTAGGGTTAACCCTTAATTAACCGAAACTCTAACCCCTCTTTCCACCTTCACACCATCCATCGCGCTCCCATTGACCGCTCTTTTATCGCTAAAGAGAGATGACTGAGGACGAGTCAGGGTCAATCCCCTTAATCTACGGTTGACAAGTTCAATATAATGTGGTCTGTATAGTGTGTATAGTTTCAGTATCAGGTTGATATCATCGGAGGAATTCAACATTTGAGAGATATTGCAACTCGAACTTGAACTCGGGCATATTCCCTTGGGACGAGGCTCGTTGTGAGCATCAGCACTCGGAAAGGGATCGTTTTTGAACGAGTGGGGCTTATTTTTGGACAAAATAACCAATATCAAAGGTTTGAATTTTTTTTGTGTATATAAAACGTTTTGAGGTTGGGAATTTTTTGTTGTAAGTTTTGATCTGTAAACGATTTTTTGATTTTTCTCTTTCCTTTTGCTATGATGGTTTTTACCAGTTGGCGGTCGTCATTAAGCAACAATGACGGCCACGGCTACAAAAACGTCATTAAAAAGTATATTTACGCTGCTTTAAACCTTATCTCGCTTGTTCCATCTCGTTCAATCCGGCAAATAATGGCGAATTTTTCTGGAGCTGAATTCTAAAGGAGTGTATCGAATTTCAGAAAAAGAAAAAGAAAATTGTTGTCTTGTGTTCGCGTCCTCCACAAAACGTGAAAATAGGAAGTTTCACGTTGTAGTCTGGCAACGACGGCAAAGAAATGTACAAAACACTTGATACACGTGCAAAGTTCTTTTTTTGCCTTCTACCGTTCTCGTTGCCGTCGCCTTTCTCGTTGCTTAAGCTCCCTAACATTTGTTTTAGGTGGCTGTGACAACATTTGCAGTTTATGTTCTATGTGGTAATGACTTAACAGCCTCCAAGGCTTTTGTGGCTTTGTCGCTGTTTGGAATCATNAACCCTTAATTAACCGAAACTCTAACCCCTCTTTCCACCTTCACACCATCCATCGCGCTCCCATTGACCGCTCTTTTATCGCTAAAGAGAGATGACTGAGGACGAGTCAGGGTCAATCCCCTTAATCTACGGTTGACAAGTTCAATATAATGTGGTCTGTATAGTGTGTATAGTTTCAGTATCAGGTTGATATCATCGGAGGAATTCAACATTTGAGAGATATTGCAACTCGAACTTGAACTCGGGCATATTCCCTTGGGACGAGGCTCGTTGTGAGCATCAGCACTCGGAAAGGGATCGTTTTTGAACGAGTGGGGCTTATTTTTGGACAAAATAACCAATATCAAAGGTTTGAATTTTTTTTGTGTATATAAAACGTTTTGAGGTTGGGAATTTTTTGTTGTAAGTTTTGATCTGTAAACGATTTTTTGATTTTTCTCTTTCCTTTTGCTATAATGGTTTTTACCAGTTGGCGGTCGTCATTAAGCAACAATGACGGCCACGGCTACAAAAACGTCATTAAAAAGTATATTTACGCTGCTTTAAATCTCATCGCGCTTGTTCCATCTCGTTCAATTTGGCAAATAATGGCGAATTTTTCTGGAGCTGAATTCTAAAGGAGCGTGGTATCGAAGTTCAGAAAAAGAAAAAGAAAATTGTTGTCTTGTGTTCGCGTCCTCCACAAAACGTGAAAATAGGAAGTTTCACGTTGTAGTCTGGCAACGACGGCAAAGAAATGTACAAAACACGTGATACACGTGCAAAGTTCTTTTTTTGCCTTCTACCGTTCTCGTTGCCGTCGCCGTTGTCGTTGCTTAAGCTCCCTAACATTTGTTTTAGGTGGCTGTGACAACATTTGCAGTTTATGTTCTATGTGGTAATGACTTAACAGCCTCCAAGGCTTTTGTGGCTTTGTCGCTGTTTGGAATCATGTCATTTCCTCTAAGAAACTTTCCAACTGTAATTGCAACCTGTGTGCAGGTGAGGCTTTAAATTTGAATTAGTGACCATTGTAAGCTAGTTAATTTGGTGCAGAGGTTTACGTTTTGGTTGGTTTATTACATTAAGGCCATAAACGCAAACATTGTACCTTCAAGTAACTATTAGATAGGAAAAACATCTAAAAAAAGTCTTATCGACGAACGAACCACGAACGGTGGCCTGGAAATGGGCCCAATTATGTCATCTCAGTAGAAACTATTAGCAAACAGCCAAGGCGAATTATATTATCTTTATTTTTCAGAGGTAGAATATTATAAATATATACGTATACCGGCGTATTTTCAACTCAACTATCATTTACTGGTTTTCTTTATTAAGGCTCGAGTATCAGTCAAGCGCTTGGAAGAGTTCCTGGGTTTAAAGGAGCTGGATCCAAACTGTGTCCAGAGGATACCTTGTAAGAGACGACATCGTAGCGTACACTTCGACTTTGAGATTACTTTACTGATTTGATCCGTCTTTGGTCTGTGACTTTATTTTTAACTTTTTGTAGACTGGCAGCAGTCTCTCTTGAACAAATTTTTTTTTATTGCTTATTCAAACTAATGACGTTCGTCATTAAGATTTCATAAAATTAATGAGGTTTTATACTCTCACACTTCATAGGCAACGTGCTTAATGCGAGCACGGTTTGTGTCAGAGATGGCGTATTTGGCTGGAATAAGAACGACACTCCAATACTGCGCAGGTTAGAACAGAATAGTATAAAGGTACCCTTTTCTTTTCTTTTTTTTTTGTTCCCCTTTTTTCGACTGTTCTTTTAGTTTGTTAACTGTTTATTTCGTGTCGATGTTGAGGCTGTTTTTCTTTTTACATGCAACACGTTTGTTTGTTTTGCATTTCAGCGTTTCCTTTTTTTGCTGAAAATTTGATTTTTTTTTAATCGCAGCATAAATTTAAATATTCCAAGTGGTTCACTGGTAGCAGTGGTTGGTCAAGTTGGTTGTGGTAAATCTACCCTGCTATCTTCACTTCTCGGAGAAACCGAGAAACTGCGTGGTAGCGTACATGTGGGGGTGAGTGAGTGCTAGGAATCCGCTTGTTTATTCAAGTCTGTAATAAGCAGATTTCTTTTGTGAACGAGGAAAGAATCAAAATCAGTTAACTATTTTAGTATCCCCTATAACACACTCTGTTGGCCTCCTCCTTCAAATTTCGCTTGAGTTATTGCGTTGAATTGCTCTTGAGAACGTACTGTCATCCCAGGGGCGTTTGAAAATGTTGGGAGGGGGTTGGGGTTGGTGGGGGCTAGCAAAGCGTACTATGAGGGATTCGAAAATCGAGAATGAAGTGGTGCGGAACATACTTCCGTGTGCGTAAGAACAAGTTTACTAGTGAAGTTTTCTGTTTTCTTGTAATTTTCCAGGGTACAGTGGCTTATGTGTCGCAGCAGGCCTGGATCCAGAACGCTACCGTACGAGACAATATCCTGTTTAACAGTGCGTACGACTGTGCACGCTATGAGCACGTGATTGACTCATGTTCACTCAAGCCAGATCTAGAAATTCTACCCGCGGGTGATTTAACAGAGATTGGTGAAAGGGTAAGAAGGGAACTTATTAAATAGTTTAGCTGCTTTGGCGAACAAGCAAGATGAAGGCGCAAAACTTCTGTTCTGATTAGCTACCCGAGCGGGCAAGATGAGCCTTTTTCGCCCGCCCTTCCTGCGTTGTTCCCGTAAGGAAAAAGTTCTCTTGATCATATAATTATTAACCATGCTTGTTCGTCCAAGATGAGTAGGTATTAGCCCTCTTCTCTCTTTGATCCATAAGAACGAATGAATATTCAGCTACCTTGACTCGTTCTTCGCTGTCAGCAGGCGTCTTAACAATTCCCGCTGGATACACTATCGAGATGACGTAATACTCGCTTACTTAAATGCATACGCAGCAACAGGTTATTTATTTTAGTTTTGAGTCTCATTACATGACACTGGTTTTTGTTACATCAACAGGGCATCAACCTGAGTGGAGGTCAAAAACAGCGTGTCAGCCTGGCAAGAGCGGTTTATTTTGACGCTGATATTTATTTGCTAGATGATCCGCTCAGTGCTGTTGATGCTCACGTTGGGCGAAAGCTGTTTCGTCACGTGATCGGAGCCAGTGGAATTCTCAAGGAGAAGGTCAGTTTGAAATGATGGCTGGAAACGTCTTAGGGTTGATGAAGTCAGTTCCCATGCCATTTGTAATTTGGGAAATGTTAAAGAAACCGTGCGTTAAAGGCTCTTTTCAACAATTTAACTCTCCATTCGTCTTGTTTATTTGTAGACACGCATCCTAGTTACGCATGGTATCAGCTTTTTGCCTCAAGTCGATCATATCATCGTTCTTCATGACGGAATTGTTTCCGAGGTAACGGAATCAGTAAAAGACGTATTTTCCATCGTCGCTTTTCTCTCTGTTTTTGAGTTAAATTAACTGTTTACGCATTCCTTTTCAGGAAGGCACCTACGCTGAGCTATTGAAAAACTCGGGCGCCTTTGCGGATTTTCTGCAAACATACAGTTCCGAAGAAAACAGTGGTTTGTGCTGCTTATCTGTGCATATGTTTTGTATAACCTTTCTCTATAAAACGCTTCAGTGGTGGACTCATACTCTTTGTGACGTCACCCAGTTTTCGTCTTCCGATATGTCAAGCAAATAATGCTAATAATGGATAATCCAGAATCAAATTTATGTTTGAGTTCTATCAAATGTTTTGCTAGGTATACTGAACTATTTTTCTTGGGGTCCAGGAAGTTAAATCGGTTATAGATACATATACCTAAGATAAGTTAAGTCTCCAGTCTAGTGATTTCATTCTTTTTCTTAACAGAAACAAATGCTACCGAAGACATTGACGATGAACAGAAATCTTTCGAGAAAGACACCGGTCCACCTCCCGGAATAGAAAAGAGAGACAATACCAACGACGATGTTGGCAAAACAATTACAGTGGAAAGAATGGAGAGAGGACGTGTAAGTTGCCCTTTGCATCCGCTTTGTAATAGATATGTGGGCATATTATTATGTAAAGTTCAGTATTGTAACTTTTTTAATTCTTAGATATTATAATTTTCTGTCTCTCTAATATCTCTAAAGTAGTTGTAGGGAGAGTTCGGAGCCGAGAATTTAATACAAGGCGAACGTCTTATACAACAGGAGCTTTACTGATAGAAGTCGTACAAGCTGTGGGTAGGTAGGACTGGGGGTGTATAAGCGGGCTGATAGTGGATTCAATAAGCGTCTTTTATTACATCTCAGCCTGTTTTAAATTCAGTCTTAAAAAGTGCATGTGCTGCGCTCGCTGCGCGCTCATAACAAAATCTAATCTGGACTCTTTGTCTTGTCTTCTGATCAACAGATAAAGCTTTCCTTATTGCTGTCCTACATCAAGTCTACAGGAATACACTGGTTTTTATTTTCTCTGTTGTTCTTTACTGTCATGGAAGCGTGTACAGTTGGCACTGGGATATGGCTGGCATATTGGAGTTCAGCAAAAAACACAACGCGTGCGCAGAGAGACTTTTACCTCACAGTATACGGTGGCATAGGCGGAGGACAAGCGTTATTTAGTCTATTATATTCGCTGATGTTGTTACTTGGCGCGATCAGAGCTTCTCGAACACTTCATCGGAAGCTTATTGTGAATATCTTGCGATTGCCTATGACATTCTTTGACGTTACACCGCTTGGAAGAATAATGAATCGGATTTCAAAAGACATATATGGGATTGATGTCACAATCCCTAACTCACTTCGTTCGTTTTTTGCGATGTTCTTCGATGTTTTGGGGATGTTAGTAGCTGTTAGTTATGCCACACCCATTTTCCTGGCTGTTTTACCGCCGCTTGGTGCGTTGTACTTCTATATTCAGGTAGGTCTAGTAAGTGTATGCGTTACAAATCTCAGTTACACCACTTATATTGCGTGACAAATGGAGTAAAGTAAGTGCCGCGAAATTTATATTAGGGGCTGTTTACATGGAGGTGGGGGACCCCAGGTAGGTGAGGTAAGCCACGATGAGTCACCACCAGGCACCTATCATGTAAACGTGGTTTAATTAAAATGAGACATTATATGGACAGGTGGGTAACCTCACCCAAGCGGGTTACATCACCTACCTGGTGTCCCCAGGGGTCCCCCACTTCCATGTAAACAGGCCCTTAGAGACGAACAGAGTTTCGTCCACGGTAGATAAATCTGCTAAAGGGTATTATCCTTGTTTAGCTGCAGATTTTTTTTTAGGCCTAATTTGTCTTTTTGCTTAAAGTTGGACGATGCAAGTGTGTGCCGGATAATTTTTTTTATCTAAAATTATTCTATATTACCAGTCAAGTCCAAACAGATATCGGTTATAAGAATTTTTTAATACTAGCTTTGCATGCTTTTTCCTCAGAGAGTTTATGTAGCGACCTCTCGACAACTGCGAAGGATTGAATCAGTCAACAGATCTCCAATCTACAGTCATTTTCTAGAAACAATTAACGGGGCCACCACCATCCGGGCATTTTCACAGCAGCAGCGATTCATCCGGGATAATTATAGAAAAGTGGATGAAAACCAGGTGGCTTACTACTTGGGTGTGTCGGCTAACAGGTAATAATCATCCATTTTGTAGTGAATCTAGTGGCGATGTCTGATGTTTACTGTCTGATTTGTTTCAAGACAGGTTTGACTCGCAGGTGGTAATTAGCCCAACATCGCTTTTTAAATCCTTTTGAGGCAATGTTGCACAACAAGTTACACGTGTTTGTTGCCCGTTTCTTGGAAGTGTGATTAAATGAGTCCAGTATTTCTGCATCTTTGCTCTTATTAATAACAGTTCTCGTTATGTTATTAAAATTGTGATTAGAGAGTAAGGAAGGGCTGACAGTTGTAGACCTCTTAGACTAGGTTGATCCTAGCGTGGTTTTTTTTTCGGTTTCATAATGATTCCGGCTGAAACACTATGGTAACGGGTTTCTTTTGCCGTTTACTCCAAATGCGTGTGTCCGAAATAAAAACGTCCGGGTTTGGTCGGAGCCTAATGTGAACAGTTTGTATCCAAATGAATATTCTTGGATTAAATAACGTGTATGAATGGATGCGAATCAGTATACCGAATCAGTATACCGTAAATACAATATATCCGGAAAAATCTGGTTTTACAGTGCGAGCGCTAAAACCGGGACAGGCCAATAAAATTCCTAAATTTGAGCGTTGTTTCCTAAGAGGCCAGGTACGTTCAACGGTTATTTCAGAGGTTGCACTGTTGAACCTTGAATTTTATTGGTCCGTTAGCAACAAAACATGATAATCTTTTGTTTTCAGAAAGTATTGTGATTGGACAATCTTCTCCCAAGTGTCCTGGTTTTAGTGTCCGCACTTTAAGGTTCCTGTGCCGCTTGCTCGTTTTTCTTTGGCCCCACATTTTCTTTTATAAAATTAATAAATGAAGTGTTATTTTTATTACCCATAGGTGGCTCTCTCTGCGTTTGGAGTTTATTGGGAATTGCTTGATCTTTTTTGCTGCTTTATTTGCTGTAATCAGCAGGGATAGCATCGCAGGTGGCCTAGTAGGACTCTCTATATNATCTGGTTTTACAGTGCGAGCGCTAAAACCGGGACAGGCCAATAAAATTCCTAAATTTGAGCGTTGTTTCCTAAGAGGCCAGGTACGTTCAACGGTTATTTCAGAGGTTGCACTGTTGAACCTTGAATTTTATTGGTCCGTTAGCAACAAAACATGATAATCTTTTGTTTTCAGAAAGTATTGTGATTGGACAATCTTCTCCCAAGTGTCCTGGTTTTAGTGTCCGCACTTTAAGGTTCCTGTGCCGCTTGCTCGTTTTTCTTTGGCCCCACATTTTCTTTTATAAAATTAATAAATGAAGTGTTATTTTTATTACCCATAGGTGGCTCTCTCTGCGTTTGGAGTTTATTGGGAATTGCTTGATCTTTTTTGCTGCTTTATTTGCTGTAATCAGCAGGGATAGCATCGCAGGTGGCCTAGTAGGACTCTCTATATCATATGCGCTGCAGGTATTCTTTCAGCCAAAGTAACGTATCCAATAACTAACTTCTTGGTTATAGTAAACGATGCGGTCGTGTTCGTTAAAAACCATGGCCATTGGATTTTCTAAGCCATTTCTATTTCAAATGTCTTTTTCTTTTTTGTTCCTCAGTCCTACTTCTGCCAATACTTACATAGAATCAGACAGTCTGTGTTTTCCCTACAGTCTATCGTTCAATGGCTTTTTTTCAATAAAAGTTCATTTGAAATTGAACCATATTTTTTCATGTTTTCCATCCATGTCCTTGCTTCCTGATTTTGCCATATACTTGCCTTTTTTGTAAGTGATAGCCGTTTTGTACAGTTTCTAAGTAGGGTTATGGTTTCACAAGCAGGAAACCCACAACAAGACGTTTTCTATTCGCAGATCACTAACAAATTGAACTGGATGATTCGCATGACAAGTGAACTAGAAACCAATTTGGTGTCGGTGGAAAGAGTCAGAGAATATTCTGAGACACAAACAGAGGTAATACACCAACGAGGATATCAGTCTTATTTTACATTACATAAGTCGCTTTCAACCATCGTGGCCTTGGTTCCCATTCGAGTCACTGTTTTCACCATATTTTGCACTTTTTCAGGCCGAAAGGATAATTCCCGAAAGTCGGCCTTCACGTGACTGGCCTGAACAGGGCGTGGTAAAGTTTGATAATTTTCAGTTGAGGTACAGAGATGGTCTTCCTTTGGTGTTAAAAGGGATAAGTGTCATCATCAAGCCAGCTGAAAAGGTATATCATCCAATGCTAGAAATACCCACTATATTTTCCTTTTGTTTTCGCACGACAACATGCTGGAGCTTTTTGTTTGATTTCGACACCAAACTGAAGAATAACTTTACAAATAACCGTTAAAAATAGCTACATTTTTTTTCGGCTTTCTCCGTTTGGGATTTTTAACTTTTTATCCTTATTTGTCATGGATGAACGTCTTTGTTTTAGTCGCTTTCTCGGCTGCACTTATGTTCTCCTACAAACACTGCCAAAGGAAATTCATGAGGTCTTACTAGCTATCTATTTCGGGTTACAGATTGGTATTGTGGGTCGCACAGGAGCAGGCAAGTCTTCACTTACTTTGGCTTTGTTCCGTATTCTGGAGAGAGCTGGAGGAAAGATTGTAATTGACGGGATAGACATCTCTACGATTGGACTTCAGGATCTGCGATCACGACTCACGATCATTCCACAGGTAATGACATAGAACCATTATACAATATTCTTAACCCTTCGTTAACTGTGAGTGTTAAATGTGCATGATCTACTTGACACTGACTTGACTGAATACGAACGCACGGCCGACTTCATGAAGAACTTTTCTTCTTCGTCCAATCACGCTCCACTCTCTCAATTTTGTGTTATTCACAGGAACCTGTTCTTTTTTCTGGAACACTTCGTGTGAACTTGGATCCGTTTAATAAACACTCAGATGAAGAGCTGTGGAATGCACTAGAAGTTAGTCACCTGAGAAAATTTGTTTGCGGATTAAATGGAGGTTTACAACACACAATAGCAGAAGGAGGAGAAAACCTGAGGTATTAAAGCTACCTTTATCTCTTTAATTTTTTTTGAGCTTTTCAAAGAAAACCATCACGACTACCAAAGCCACACAAATCACTCAAAAATTCTCACTATCAAAGATGCTTCATGAAGTAGTCTCTCCTAAACGGTCTCAGTAGTTTTCATCAGATGTGTCTTTGATGTTTCTAAGTATAATAATCCACGCAATGGACAAAATCGTTTTGTTACCGCTCTTGAACTTTATCAGCAATGAAAAGTTTATTATAACCCCTCAGCAACATTTGATGAGCCACTTTGGTTGATTTATTCTAGCGTTGGTCAGCGGCAGTTGGTATGTTTAGCACGTGCGTTGCTTCGTAGAAGTAAAATCCTTGTTCTTGATGAAGCCACAGCGGCGGTGGACCTGGAAACTGATGAACTTATTCAACAAACGATTCGGCGAGAGTTTGCTGACCGCACGGTGCTCACTATTGCTCACAGGCTCAACACCATCATGGATTACGATCGGTAAGTCACTGCTTTTAGTCTGGGCCCTGCTGTGGTCCAGATAAAAAGACTGGAGATTTTTAAAGACATCTTGCTTTAAAGTAGGCCAAAAAAAACCACCCTTTTTGTGGGAATCAGCTATACGCTCTCTAGGTCTCTTTCCATGAAGGCGCTTACGAATATCCCGGCATCAAGGCGAAAGTTTACGAGAGAAGTAGCTTTATTTGTTGGCTGTGCGATTTCGGGGCAAGAACCTTTTCTCATTGCAAGAAATAGAACTAGTGAATATATTTTATGTTGCTTGGATAGACAGACATTCGCAAAGCCAACAATCTCTGTGGGGATAACAAGATTCGATGAGAAATGGACATTTTGTTTTCAATGATGCGCTTTTTCCACAGTTGAATTCATTGCTGAAAAGTAAACAGATCGCGATAAGTATTCTGACAGCAAGGAACTCTTACTTACAGCTTGTTTTTATATCTTTTTCAGGGTATTGGTGCTAGACAACGGTTTAATTATGGAATTCGGCTCACCCTCTAAACTCCTAGATCTGAAAGGTTATTTTTACTCCATGGCCTGCGACGCAAGAGTTAATGTAATGTCAATCAATTCAGATAGTTGACAAGAGATGTTTTTTTGTGGGAGGAAAATTAAGTTTCTTCTCCAGCTATTTATTTGTTTATAAACACTAAAGAATTAAAAGAAAGGCTCCACAAACCAACGACGTGTGAGAGATAGAAAGTAAAACGCTTTGCGCGTGCGCTTTCACCGAACACTCTCGAAAGCCCCGAAATGAATTGCGGTAGCCGGATCAGCTTCCAAAGTTGTCTATTTATAACCTCTTGTTAGGAAAACTACGTGTCGTAAAATAAAAAATACAGTCGCTTTGCTCTATCTGTTTGTTTGTTTGTTTGTTATTTGATTCATTTTATTTATTCATTGATGTAAAAGCCGGGGGGTACTCCCTTATAAGGGCTTAATGGGGACGTGCGGCCAGCCGGGGTATGTTTTTCGGGATTTTTGTCTTAAACAGGGTATCGATTTTATCATTTTTTGTCTTAATCAGGGTATCGATTTTATCAATTTTTGTCTCAAACGAGGTATCTTTTCTTGGACGATAAAGAGCCTGCGCGTATGTTCTACGAACGAAACTACGAGTCTGTTGATCAAGATGTAAACAGTTTTGTGATTGCCAATGGATTAAATAAGGAAGAGTTTCGATATTTATTACTGTCTTACACAGGGTATGGTTTCGGGTTAAATGTCTTAAACAGGGTATCAAAAATCGGAATTCTGTCCTAAACAGGANAAACGTATAAAAAGGGTAAAAAAAATGGGGAGTTGTGGCTAAAAGAGGAGAGAAAAACCGGGGTTTTTTTCTTAAAGAGGGGGGGGGTTGGGGGGGGCCGGGCCCCCCCCCCCCACCAAAGATAATTCGGAGACCCCCCCCCCCCCCAGGTGTAAAAGCTACCAGCTCATTGCAGGGTAAATATCTTCGATTGATTGATGATAAGAAATAATTTGAAGGAAAATAACCAGACTGTCACATGAAATGGAAATAACAGGACTAATTTTGTGACCTTTTCTTCTCTTTGGACCCCCTTTTCAGTCACAAGAGGCTTGGCTGCTTGGAGCCATTACAATAGTCCCAGTACCTCTCGCTTTTAGCTATTCTATTGTTATCTTTTTTTTCTTGACGGTTGCAAGTAATAATTTTTGTTTCTGTTTCCTTTTTGCTTTATCAATTTTCATATGTTTTAATTTTTAAGTAATTATTTACACGCGATGAAACGTGAGCTTAACAGGAAGGAAGATGTTTCATTCGTTCGATAACCTTGGGGCTTCTCCGGTCTCAAGTGTCATTACGGTCATGCACCGCCATCCGGTCCCTCCCGGCCTGCCAGCTTAATGCCTCTCATTTGGTAAGTGATACTTTACATTTCTTATTTTAACATCGAACTACGTAGATGGTGCCAAATACCGGCCTGGTGAGAAGTGCAGGGATTGTTATATACTTGATTTAAGGGTGACTTATTTGCATTCTCAGTTGTGATACAGCTTGATTGCGATAGGTGGACTGCTGAGGTCACCTTTGGATGTTATTGAGTTATTCGAATCACATGACGTGACTTTCCATTCCAAAACAGCGCTGATGTAGCTTGTCACCCCGTCGTAATTTTAAAAGCTCAAAAAGGAGAGTAAAATGTCTGCACAACCCTATATCGATGTGATGTGGGTCAATTCTATCCTTGGTTTTTTTTTTCCTTTGTTCTAGGCACAGGTAGCCCAAGCTTACTAAAATGTTGTCGTATGAATAATTAATTAGCTAAGTAGGATAATGTTGTTCAGGGCTCTCATAGTGAGTTTGGGCTATCAGTGTTCTAGGGCTTGGTACTACGGTAATGAGTTTGAAACACAAGGACATAAACTTTAAACCAGCGAAGAAATCGAACCACAACATTGCCAATAAACCAAAATGTTCACATTATAAAGTTGTAAACATAACCAAATTGTTAGTGTACAGGCCATCTGCCTCAGAGTTGATTTCATGTACTGCACGTGATTTGGTGTGAGTTAAGGTGTCCTTGAGTTTCCTGAGGTTTGACCCTGGCCATGTCAAAGCAAAAGGCAAGGACCTTTGCTAACGTCTTCTCTTTCGTCTCTTGCGCATAAAAACTGGAACAGGTGCAAGACCCACGGGGGGTACTCCAGACTTCAAGTGTCAGGGATGATCAAAGGATTTTTTTGGGTTAGTAATTTTTTTGGGGGGAGGGGGGATAGGAAAATTTTTTTTGGTGGCTTGGTTTAAGTAGGGACTTTTTTGGGGATTCAAAACAATCTAAAGATCACAGCTTAGCTGACAGATGACCAATAACATCGCCACATAATTGACCAGTCAGGTCAATAACCAGAGTATAATACCATCAACTGATGATGACTACCATACAGGTTGTCGAAACGTCAGTCACTGTCAACAACAACAGTCCTATTCGGGACTACGTTCACCCGGATGATCAAACTCAACCTACTTTTGAAATGACTCCTGGGTTCAAACCTTTCACAAATCTAAATATGGTTGGTAGTGCCAGCGTATCCCAGCCACAAACACAAATTTCGGGTTTTGATTTTTGCAACCATTTGATCATCCCTATTATGTGAAATCCAGACTACCCCCTTGAGGTGCAAGGCTTTGCTCTTTAAAGTAAAATAGAAGGGTGCCCAGCACTTGATTTGTATTGAATAAACCAAAATTTTCTAGTCACCCAAGAACAATAGCCTGGACAGCCTGGAGGTTATCAACATACTGCAGTTAGTAGTAAATGTAGTTTTTTTGTTGTTTATTGCAAGGTTCACTATATGCACATGAACTTACAGCTGTACATATAGTCCTTGATAAGGACTACGTGTTAAAGTTTCTTTGATGGCAGCAGCAAAACAGAAAGTAAGGGTGATAGCTGTTGAAGACTTTGATCCATTCCAGCATGAAAACAGCATCTTAACATACGAGCTTGTAAAAGATGCCCCAAAGCGAGAGGCCCAGTTATCTTTTCACAAGGGACAGTGCTTTGAGATTCTCACCAAGAGTGTAAAAAGCTGGTGGTTATATGTGAGATGTACCACAAGTGGCAGTGAAGAAGGGTTTATACCAAGCGCTTTTGTTGTTCCATTAAAGGAAGATCTGGGTGGTGATAGGTTTGTGCTTGAAAAGATTTGCTTTTTTACTTTTTTAGTTGGTTGCACATGTTAAAGACACTGTATACGGTTCTTAAATTTTAGGCTCAATCATCTTATGGATTGTGGTGAAGTATTACCAACAATGGTTAATAGACAGCTTGATTTAAAGTTTTTCCCAAAAGTAGCAACACTGACAACACCCAATGAAATGACTGAGTCTACCAGGGTAAGAAAAATATGTCATTGGTCTAATGACTTAAAGCATTGACATATTTTTTAATGGCAATTCCTATTTCTTTTCTCCTGTAGAAACCATGTCCTGAAAAAGGAGCCAATTTCTTTTCAAGATTGACATTTTGGTGGCTAAATAGGTAACATCTATTGCAATATTTTAAACCTGAGAATTTGTATTTCCTTTGTACTCTAAATCTCCTAATCTTATCTCAGACTTAGAAAGTGCAGAATCATGCTGTGGTCAAGGTGCAAAATAGAATTCTTGTTCTTTCCATTTTGCTTTGTTCATTCCTTGTACTGTGTATTCCATTTATAAGATGGGTCTCTCGAATGTGCATAAATAAGCACTGGTGGCATATTACTAAAGTTGACAGCATCAATATTCAGTCCTGTTCATGAGAGGAGTTTATTCTTCCCTTGGAGAAAAACTTAGATTTCTCTTTTACTTTAACCGCTCATTTTATCTTCAACAGTTACATCTTCTAACTACAGGTAGGTAAGAAAAAGGAACCTGTATTCCCAATGGCAGCTCACTTAGTATGTGTTTGTTGATACTTTACAGACTGATTATAACTGGCTACAGGAGAGCTCTCCAGGAAGATGACTTGTGGTTATTGGATGAGAGAAGTCAGTCGCATCACGTTGTACCTAGACTTCGCAAAGAGTGGGACCAAGAATTGAGAAAATCCTGCAGGTATGTATGTACATGTAGATAGGGAAAATAATGACCGAGGGACTGTACTTTGAGATCCTAGTGATGGACTGTGAGATGAAGGTTTCTAGGGTGGGTAATATGTATTGTTTAGTTTCTGTGTTTTTTGTATCAGTAGGAGAGTGAATTAAGAAAGACAATGATTTTGTTTTACCAAATGAGTTGATAGCTGGTTAGAATAGACACTGTCTGGGAATTGAGAAGCTGATGTCTCAGGCAGTAGGTGTTGGTGTGATGTTATTGGTGATAACGTTGAAAACAAGAATATATACTGTAAGTTGAGTTATGTTACTGTTATTCATTTTACCGTGTTCTCATCAATAACACAGCTCCAACAACTGATATATAACACACACACACAACCTACAAAGACAAAAACATAACAGTTTTACAAGGAAGGATATATTTNTCCTATTTCTTTTCTCCTGTAGAAACCATGTCCTGAAAAAGGAGCCAATTTCTTTTCAAGATTGACATTTTGGTGGCTAAATAGGTAACATCTATTGCAATATTTTAAACCTGAGAATTTGTATTTCCTTTGTACTCTAAATCTCCTAATCTTATCTCAGACTTAGAAAGTGCAGAATCATGCTGTGGTCAAGGTGCAAAATAGAATTCTTGTTCTTTCCATTTTGCTTTGTTCATTCCTTGTACTGTGTATTCCATTTATAAGATGGGTCTCTCGAATGTGCATAAATAAGCACTGGTGGCATATTACTAAAGTTGACAGCATCAATATTCAGTCCTGTTCATGAGAGGAGTTTATTCTTCCCTTGGAGAAAAACTTAGATTTCTCTTTTACTTTAACCGCTCATTTTATCTTCAACAGTTACATCTTCTAACTACAGGTAGGTAAGAAAAAGGAACCTGTATTCCCAATGGCAGCTCACTTAGTATGTGTTTGTTGATACTTTACAGACTGATTATAACTGGCTACAGGAGAGCTCTCCAGGAAGATGACTTGTGGTTATTGGATGAGAGAAGTCAGTCGCATCACGTTGTACCTAGACTTCGCAAAGAGTGGGACCAAGAATTGAGAAAATCCTGCAGGTATGTATGTACATGTAGATAGGGAAAATAATGACCGAGGGACTGTACTTTGAGATCCTAGTGATGGACTGTGAGATGAAGGTTTCTAGGGTGGGTAATATGTATTGTTTAGTTTCTGTGTTTTTTGTATCAGTAGGAGAGTGAATTAAGAAAGACAATGATTTTGTTTTACCAAATGAGTTGATAGCTGGTTAGAATAGACACTGTCTGGGAATTGAGAAGCTGATGTCTCAGGCAGTAGGTGTTGGTGTGATGTTATTGGTGATAACGTTGAAAACAAGAATATATACTGTAAGTTGAGTTATGTTACTGTTATTCATTTTACCGTGTTCTCATCAATAACACAGCTCCAACAACTGATATATAACACACACACACAACCTACAAAGACAAAAACATAACAGTTTTACAAGGAAGGATATATTTTACTCTGAATGCCTGGTGTGATCCATTCAGTTTGAAAATGTCTAGTTAAGTTTGCCGCCTGTTAATGTTTACTGTTACTGTTTACTCTTTAGAAAAAGCACACTTCATGGTCATATGGTTGAACAGGACACAGAACGAGTTTGTCTTCAAGGAGACAGTGATGTTAGGTTTGCTGGGAAGCAAGGATATGAGTCATCACTTGTTAAAGCCATGATAAGGGTGTTTGCTCCTTATTTTGTAATTGGAATATTCTTCGTGCTGCTCAAAGATGTCTTGCTTTTCATTCAGCCATACCTCCTCAGGTAAGTTACTGTGATCAATCTAACAGAACATTATTTTACAATCAAAACTCAGTTAACAGTAGGAGAACACATACAGTAGCACTAGTGATATGTGTTTCCCAGGTGGGTAAACACATATCACTAGGGATGTCTGTTCCCTTACCAGGAACACGTGATGTGTGTTTCCCAGGTGGGGGAACACATATCACTACGGATACGTGTTTCCCAGGTGGGGGAACACATATCACTAGGGATACGTGTTTCTCAGGTAAGGGAACACATATCACTAGGGATATGTGTTTCCCAGGTAAGGGAACCCGCATCACTAGGGATAAGTGTTTCCCAGGTGGGGGAACACATATCACTAGGGATATGTGTTTCCCAGGTGGGGGAACACACATCACTAGGGATATGTGTTTCCAAGGTAAGGGAACCCATCTCACTAGGGATACATGTTTCCCAGGTAAGGAAACCCATATCACTAGGGATATGTGTTTCCCAGGTAGGGGAACACATATCACTAGGGATATGTGTTTCCCAGGTGGGGGAACACATATCACTAGGGATATGTGTTTCCNTTTCCTGGGAAGCAAGGATATGAGTCATCACTTGTTAAAGCCATGATAAGGGTGTTTGCTCCTTATTTTGTAATTGGAATATTCTTCGTGCTGCTCAAAGATGTCTTGCTTTTCATTCAGCCATACCTCCTCAGGTAAGTTACTGTGATCAATCTAACATAACATTATCTTACAACCAAAACTGACTTAACAGTGGGAGAACACATACAGTAGCACTAGTGATATGTGTTCCCCTAGCTGGGAAACACATATCACTAGTAAAATGTGTTTTCCAGTTAGGGAAACACATATCACTAGGGATGTATGTTCCCTTACCAGGAACACGTGATGTGTGTTTCCCAGGTGGGGGAACACATATCACTAGGGATACGTGTTTCCCTGGTGGGGGAACACATATCACTAGGGATACGTGTTTCCGAGGTAAGGGAACACATATCACTAGGGATATGTGTTTCCAAGGTAAGGGAACCTGCATTACTACGGATAAGTGTTTCCCAGGTGGGGGAACACATATCACTAGGGATATGTGTTTCCCAGGTGGGGGAACACGCATCACTAGGGATATGTGTTTCCGAGGTAAGGGAACCCATATCACTAGGGATAAGTGTTTCCAAGGTAAGGAAAGCCATATCACAAGGGATATGTGTTTCCCAGGTAAGGGAACCGATATCACTAGGGATATGTGTTTCCCAGAAAGGGGAACACATATCACTAGGGATATGTGTTTCCCAGGTAAGGGAACCCATATCACTAGGGATATGTGTTTCCCAGGTGGGGAACACATATCACTAGGGATATGTGTTTCCTAGGTGGGGAAACACATATCACTAGGGATACGTGTTTCCCAGGTGGGAGAACACATATCACTAGGGATATGTGTTTCCAAGGTGGGGGAACACACATCACTAGGGATATGTGTTTCCCAGGTAAGAGAACCCATATCACTAGGGATATGTGTTTCCGAGGTGGGGGAACACACATCACTAGGGATATGTGTTTCCCAGGTAAGGGAACCCATATCACTAGGGATATGTGTTTCCCAGGTGGGGGAACATACATAACTAGGGATATGTGTTTCGCAGGTGGGGGAACTCATATCACAAGGGATACATGTTTTCCAGGTGGGGGAACCCATATCACTAGGGATATGTGTTTCCCATATGGGGGAACTCATATCACTAGGGATATGTGTTTCGCAGGTAAGGGAACCCATATCACTAGGGATATGTGTTTTCCAGGTAAGGGAACCCATATCACTAGAGATATGTGTTTCCCAGGTGGGGGAACACATATCACTAGGGATATGTGTTTTCCATGTGGGGGAACACATATCACTAGGGATATGTGTTTCCCAGGTAAGGGAACCCATATTACTAGGGATATGTGTTTCCCAGGTAGGGGAACCCATATCACTAGGGATATGTGTTTCCCAGGTGGGGGAACACATATCACTAGGGATATATGTTTCCCATGTGGGGGAACACATATCACTAGGGATATGTATTTCCCAGGTAAGGGAACCCATATTACTAGGGATATGTGTTTCCCAGGTAGGGGAACCCATATCACTAGGGATATGTGTTTCCCTGGTCGGGGAACTCATATCACTAGGGATATGTGTTTTTCAGATTGGGGAACACATATCACTAGGGATATGTGTTTCCCAGGTAAGGGAACCCATATCACTACGGATATGTTTTTTCCAGGTGGGGGAACCCATATCACTAGGGATATGTGTTTTGCTGTTGGGGGAACATATATCGCTAGGGATATGTGTTTTCCCAGGTAAGGGAACCCATATCACTAGGGATATGTGTTCTGAGAAATGGGAAACACATTTCACTAGGGATATTTGTTTCCTGGCTAGGGTCGCACATATCACTAGAGATGTGTTTCCGAGTAGGGAACGCTTAATACTAGTAAATAATATGTGTTCCCCTACTTAGGAAAACATGTCATTAGAGAGATGTTTTTTGCGGTCATTATACACCTCTCCTCTCAACGGTGAATCTCTCAAGAACAAGACAGTAACCAGAGCGACCAGCTCTGATCTCCAGTTGTCTCTTGACTGATTGTTTACTTTATATTTTTTAATGTTTTACAGACTCCTGATAGAATACACTGAGGATAATGGAAATGATGCTGATGCTTGGAAGGGATATGTTTATGTAGTTTGTTTTTTAGTTGTTCAAGCATTTCAAGTCTCATTAGTACAACATTCACTTCACATATCATTTACATCAGCTATGAGAGTGCATACAAGTATTATTGGTGTGGTGTATAACAAGGTAAAGGCCACGCCCCTCGGTACAGAAATGATGAAAGTAAATGACAGTAACACCCTCTCACATGATGGGAACTGCACCTCTTGCTTTTCAATTCTTGTCTCTTCCTGCAGTAGTCTGTGCTGCATGATTCTCTTAATGCAGGACATCTCTTGTTGAAAGAAAGCCCCCAAAACCATTGATGTTATGCATGCAATCATGCTGTTCCCCTGCCTGGCTTATGGTCTTTTTTATAGATACCCACTTCCTTTTGTAGCAATCTTTTCAAATGAAAGCTTGTGCAGTTAGTTTATTTCTTACAGAAGTCAGAACCTTTCAACCAACCAGTCTGGTTAACCTTTTTCATACAACTCATTTGTGGTCCCATTAATACAATTTTTACAACATTTTCAAAGAAAATATCGAGTGGTAATAAATTATTCTAAGCTGTTTGTAAGATGGTTTAAAGTCTGCAAAGGATTTTTATTGCATTTGGGAGGAAAATTATTGCATAATGTTCAGAGCACACTGTCGTCATGCAATAACTAATAAATTTCTAGGGAATGGGTGATAAGTTACCCTTGAAAGCGTCTCCTTCTGCTCTGAAAATGTGCCAGATGTTCCCTTTGCATTCCTCTTTTTTTGCTTCAAGAAATGGGACATACATGGCGTAATAAGATTACAGATATTTTTCAGTGTCAAGGAGGAAATGTTTATTGATATTTTAGGCCCTAGTAAGGGTCTTTTCTATTGATCATTCTTTTTTTACTGAATGATACCTTTTTTTACTTAGGCAGTGTGTCTGAGTCATATCTCAAGAAGACTTTCTACAGCAGGAGAGATGGTTAACCTTATGGCTATAGATGTACAAAAAGTGATGCAACTTGTGCAGTCATTTAATCAGATCTGGTCGGCCCCTTTCCAAATCTGTGTCGCCATTTACTTCCTTTATGTAACAATGGGTGTGGCCACCTTGGCTGGAGTGGGTGTGCTCCTATTGTTAGTACCTCTGAATCTGCTTTTGGCTCGACTGGTTAGGAATATTCAGGTAAACCATTTTAAACATTGCAGGTCACTGCATGTATCCAATCACACCAGAGTCAAACACAACACAATAAGAATTTTGGTTTGAGCATATCCTTACATGAAGGCACTTCCTCAAGTCTTTATTGACCCATTCACAGCTGATCATTTTAAGCATTTAGTTAAACCAATTAGCTTGTTCTCAGAAAAGGTTTTTCAAATATTATTGCTTGTCTCATGAGTAAGTTGTTAGCAAGTCTCCATCAGGCAAGGGCTGACTGGAAATATATCACCAAAGCTTAATGTGTATGATTTCAACGACTGTTCTCCAGATTATTTTTGCTCAATATATTTGCAGGTGAAGCAATTGAAACACTCTGACGAACGTATAAAGTTGATGAATGAAGTGCTGAGTGGTATTAAGGTTTGACAATAACCATTAACATTACAGATATGTGTTTCCCAGGTGGGGGAACACATATCACTAGGGATACGTGTTTCTCAGGTAAGGGAACACATATCACTAGGGATATGTTTTTCCCAGGTAAGGAAACCCGCATCACTAGGGATAAGTGTTTCCCGGGTGGGGGAACACATATCACTAGGGATATGTGTTTCCCAGGTGGGGGAACACATATCACTAGGGATATGTGTTTCCCAGGTGGGGGAACCCATATCACTAGGGATATGTGTTTCCCAGGTAAGGGAACACATCAAACAAGGAATATGTGTTTCCCAGGTAAGGGAACCCATATCACTAGGGATATGTGTTTCCCAGGTGGGGGAACACATATCACTAGGGATATGTGTTTCCCAGGTGGGGGAACACACATCACTAGGGATATGTGTTTCCCAGGTAAGGGAACCCATATCACTAGGGATATGTGATTCCCAGGTGGGGGAACACATATCACTAGGGATATGTGTTTCCCAGGTGGGGGAACACACATCACTAGGGATATGTGTTTCCCAGGTAAAGGAACCCATATCACTAGGGATATGTGTTTCCCAGGTAAGGGAACCCATATCACTAGGGATATCTGTTTTCCAGGTGGGGGAACACATATCACTAGGGATATGTGTTTCCCAGGTAAGGGAACCCATATCACTAGGGATATGTGTTTCTCAGGTAGGGGAACACATATCACTAGGGATATGTGTTTCCCAGGTAAGGGAACACATATCACTAGGGATATGAGTTCTGAGATATGGGAAACACATTTCACTAGGGATATTTGTTTCCCAGGTGCGGGAACACATATCACTAGGGATATGTGTTTCCCTGGGGGGGGAACCCATATCACTAGGGATATGTGTTCTGAGATATGGGAAACACTTTTCACTAGGGATATTTGTTTCCTTGCTAGGGTCACACATATCACTAGAGATGTGATCCCGAGTAGGGAATCCTTAATACTAGTAATATGTGTTCCCCTACTTAGGAAAACATGTCACTAGAGAGATGTTTTTCGCGGCCATTATACACCTCTCCTCTCAACGGTGAATCTCTCAAGAATAAGACAGTAACCCGAGGGACCAGCTCTGATTTCCAGTTGTCTCATGACTGATTGTTTACTGTATATTGTTTAATGTTTTACAGACTCCTGATAGAATACACTGAGGATAAGGGAAATGATGCTGATGCTTGGAAGGGATATGTTTATGTAGTTTGTTTTTTAGTTGTCCAAGCATTTCAAGTCTCATTAGTACAACATTCACTTCATATATCATTTACATCAGCTATGAGAGTACATACAAGTATTATTGGTGCCGTGTATAACAAGGTAAAGGTCACGCCCCTCAGTACAGAAATGATGAAAGTAAATTACAGTAACACCCCCTCACATGATGGGAACTGCATCTCTTACTTTTCAATTCTTGTCTCTTCCTGTAGGAGTCTGTGCTGCATGATTCCTTTAATGCAGGACTTCTCTTGTTGAAAGAAGGCCCCTAAAAGCGTTGGTATTATGCATGCAACCATGCTGTTCCCCCCTGGCTTATAGTCTTTTTTATAGATACCCACTTCCTTTTGTAGCAATCTTTTCAAATGAAACCTTGTGCAGTTAGTTTATTACTTACAGAAGTCAGAACCTTTCAACCAACCAGTCTGGTAAACCTTTTTCATACAACTCATTTGTGGTCCCATTAATACAATTTTTACAACATTTTCAAAGAAATATCGAGTGCTAATAAATTATTCTTGTGCTGTTTGTAAGTTGGTTTAAAGTCTGCAAAGGATTTTTCTTGCATTTGAGAGGAAAACTATTGCATAATGTTCAAAGCAGTGTCGTCAATAACTAATAAATTTCTAGGGGATGGGTGATAAGTTGCCCTTGAAAGTGTCTCCTTCTGCTATGAAAATGTGCCAGATGTTCCCTTTCCATTCCTCTTTTTTTGCTTCAAGAAATGGGACATACATGGCTTAATAAGATTACAGATATTTCTCAGTGTCAAGGAGGAAATGTTTATTGATATTTTAGGCCCTAGTAAGGGTCTTTTCTATTGATCATTCTTTTTTTGTCTGAATGATACCTTTTTTTACTTAGGCAATGTGTCTGAGTCATATCTCAAGAAGACTTTCTACAGCAGGAGAGATGGTTAACCTTATGGCTATAGATGCACAAAAAGTGATGCAACTTGTGCAGTCATTTAATCAGATCTGGTCGGCCCCTTTCCAAATCTGTGTCGCCATTTACTTCCTTTATGTAACAATGGGTGTGGCCACCTTGGCTGGAGTGGGCGTGCTCCTCTTGTTAGTACCGCTGAATCTGCTTTTGGCTCGACTGGTTAGGAATATTCAGGTAAACCATTTTAAACATTGCAGGTCACTGCATGTATCCAATCATACCAGCGTCAAACACAACACAATAAGAATTTTGGTTTGAGCATATCCTTACATGAAGGCACTTCCTCAAGTCTTTATTGACCCATTCACAGGTGATCATTTTAAGCATTTAGTTAAACCAATTAGCTTGTTCTCAGAAAAGTTTTTTCAAGTATTATTGCTTGTCTCATGAGTAAGTTGTTAGCAAGTCTCCATCAGGCAAGGGCTGACTGGTAATATATCACCAAAGCTTAATGTGTATGATTTCAACAACTGTTCTCCAGATTATTTTTGCTCAATATATTTGCAGGTGAAGCAATTGAAACACTCTGACGAACGTATAAAGTTGATGAATGAAGTGCTGAGTGGTATTAAGGTTTGACAATAACCATTAACATTACCCTGTTAGGAATAATAATATTCACAAAGGTTTTACATTTCATTGGCTGAACAGAAGCTGCTACTGAGTATGGTCCCTCTCTTTCTCCACATCAAATGTAAAAGACGTAATGAAGTGAACACCTCTCTGATACATTTTTTGCTCTGCTCCGTTGCAAGTTGCCCAGTGAGTGGGTAGAAATTCTTTTCTGCAACTTGTTATTGTCGACCAAACTTTGTGTCTTTTCCAAATGTAATAAATATTATTTATGGCAATCAACCAAACCACAATCCAGGGCTTTGTAGATTAAGGTATTTTCAGTACATACCCAGTTGTTTCTAGCTCGCATGTGTGTTTTGTAACTTTCTTGCTACCTACATCTTCTTTTTCCAGGTACTTAAGTTGTATGCATGGGAGGAATCATTTATTAACAAGATAACAGAAATAAGAAATAAAGAGCTGCATCATCTCCGTCAAAGCTTGTACCTTAATTCAGCTGTTGGCTTTACCTTCATTTGTGCCCCATTTCTGGTAGGAAGTAATTTGATTGTGTTTTGCATTTTGCTTGAGTCTCTTATCTTGTAGTTGATATGATCCCACTCTACTGAAAAGCCACAGAATGTATGTTTTACATATGTTCCGTATAAATTATAGGCAATCAAATCATTTTTTTTTTGTCTTTGATCTCTGTAGGTTTCTTTGGCCACCTTTGCTGTTTATGTGTTAATGGGAAATGAGCTGACAGCTGCTAAAGCTTTTGTTGCAATTTCCTTGTTCAATATTCTACGTTTTCCTCTTTCCATGCTACCAAGAGTGGTGGTAAACTTTATTCAGGTCAGTTAAGTGCAGAAGTAAGTTAGTTAACTCCATCATTTAGTTATAAGAGAGAATTAGAGGGAATTAACCCAAGATCTTTACGTTGAAAACTTCGTTCCCTGGAGTGAGTTCTGAGTACAGGTTTAATTGACATAGCATTTGCCATGACTTGGTGTAAGCCAAAGTCTGAATGCATAATTAAATGTTATGTGCATATGATGTACAGTGTACTGTTACTTCGGGCACTTTCCAAAAGTCGGAACTGGCCAGCTGGACTATGGACAAACCAGTCATTTTGACAATGAAAATTAATAGGCTTTTTCCAAGAGTTTTTGCGTAAAAACCTTCTCCTTCATGCTTGCTATTTAGGATTTGACTGATCTGGCTGGATAGTTTTGATTAAAATTGAAATTCTCATCATGATGGTTATGGTCTGGCCAGTCAGTTCTGACAAATGGAAAGTGCCTCAAGTATTCAGATTAATGTAATAAAGCCAAAACAAATACTCAGCCAAATCACAAAAGATGTCACAAACCATGTGCTGGCATTTAGTATGGAAAAACAAATGCACGCGACATGCAATTTTACTTCTGATTGGTTGAGAAATTGGCACCAGATTTTCTTCGCCATTCGCACTCAATATAAAACCAAAGTAATTACAGCCATTGTAGATTCACGGTTGGGAGAATCGTGCAGTATTTAACAGATGTATAACAAATTATGCAATCACTAGCCCATTAAAACTCACCATTTTACTGCCAGTATTTATTTCCGACATGAAGTTTCATGTGTATTGAACCAGAAAAACTCTCAAAGCTATGCTCTTAAGATGTTTGTTTTGTTTTGTTGTTTTTTTGGGTGAATTTCCCGCAGGCTCAAGTTTCAGTCCATCGCCTTGAGGAGTTTTTGAAGCTAGGAGAAATACAACCTGATAACGTCATACGGAACATGCCTTCACACCGTAAGTTTCAATGAGGTCATCAATTACTTGGAGAAAATCATCTGTTATTGTCTGCCTTACCTATTAACATCCCGATTCTTCACTTTCCAAGAGTACTGTAATATTCAGCATAATAAACAGTCACAGGAAAGTACTGCTCAGTATCTTTCATTTGATGGTGACACCTTAGGATTTCATCCACAGACTCAAAAGTTAGATTTACTATGTACAGTGTAACAAACAGTACCACGGGAAAGTACTGCTCAGTAGCTTTCATTTAAATGGTCACACTTCAGGATTTCATTCACAGACTCAAAAACTTAGATCCACCTTTTACAGCATAATGAACGGTACCACAGGAAAGTACTTCTCAGTAACTTTCACTTGCGTGTTTACACATCACAATCTCATCCACAGACCCCAAAGAATAACCCAGTCCTTTTACCGGAAATTTGAAAAAACACCACCAAAAGGGTCTTGTTGCAGTATCCAGTATTTGATTGGTCGTAGCCAGGTTAATGGCTGTTATAGACTTTGACGTTAAGGGTGGGGCCACTCTGGAAAAATTAGTTCTCGATCCTGCAGGCCTCGGTTTGGTATATAACAAGGGAACTGGGCCCCGGGGCTTTTCCTCTAGAGCTGTCTTTGATCCTTACCAACGTGATTCATTCACAAATGTCTGTCACATCATCAATGTGTTTCTTGTATCAGTAGGCACCAACATTGCAATTCTCATTGAAAATGGCACATATTGCTGGGAGAGAAACAAAGACATCCCTGTCTTAAAAGGGTAGGTGAAAAAAACCCTCTCATACTCCTCTTTTTTTCAGTTTCTGAGGCAAGTCTTTAATGTTTCTTTTGTCATTTGCTTTGATAGCTACTTTATCGTTAATTTTTGTTATTTTCGACAGCATTAATGTAAACATCCCCAGTGGTTCGCTTGTGGCAGTAGTTGGTCAAGTTGGCTGTGGAAAATCTACTTTGCTCTCCGCAATACTTGGAGAAACCGAGAAAACAGACGGCCTTGTTTATATTAAGGTTTGTTTATTTAAAGAATTCTGATGAAAACAGTAAAATAGTTACTTAGAGTCACTTTATGTTTTTCTTGATTAATCTTTGAAATGGTACAAAAGTGTTTGAGTACTGTCTTTCCCCGATTAATTGCCAGGGGCGATTATTTCAAATATTGTTTACTGGAAGTCGCACCCTAAATAGTTTGTTTTATCATCCCGTTAAATGAAAAAAATAATGACCTCAAATAAACTGAACATGGGCCTTTTAAGTGCTCCAAGTCTTGTTTCTTGAGTATTTCAATTCAGTTCAGTTTATTTTCTTTCAATATTTTAACTAATGCTAAGTTACAGCATTTATAGATTGTTGTTTAAAATATAAACGTTTCAATTGAATTCATATTAAAGTTTGAGTATGATGGCCAAGTGAACCATTCAGTGGTTTGGTTTTTCAATACCAATATCCTTGGCGTCAGAGCTTGAATCGTCACTGATCAGACTCCACTTCAGCTTCATGCTCCAGATTCTCTCCTCCAGGAGGTATTAGGGAGCTTAAGCAACGACGACGGCGACGTCAACAAGAACGGCAAAAATGCAATTGGTTTAGATTGGCAAAACAACAACTTTGCACGTGCATCACGCTTTTTTGTACGTTTCTTTGCCGTCACTACACTACTACGACGTGAAAATGCCTATTTTCACGTTTTGTGAAGAACGTGAACGCAAGACCACGACTTTCTCTTTCTTCTCCTGAACTTCGATACCGTCTTTAAGAATTGAACTCCAGAAAAACATTGCCAACATTTGACGAACTGAGCGAGATGGAATAAGCGCGATAAAGTTTGAAGCAGCGCGACTTCACTTTTTAAGTGACGTTTTCGTAGCCGTCGCCGTCGTTTTTGCTTAAGCTCCCTATTGGGGTGGAGTGGGAGGGGGGGGCGTCGGGCAATTATTCGAGGAAGCGATTATTTTAAATATTTACGTCAAAGAGAGGCGATTAATCGAGGGACGGCTATTACTCGAGGAAATACAGTAAGTGGGTTTCATTTCGTGTTGATCAAGGTAAAGAATCTGGTGACCTTTTCTGTTTTCTCTGAGGTACAGTAATCTGCTAATTTGCTCAATCACGTGTCTGTTTTTTGTAACTCTACAGGGAAGCACCGCTTACGTTCCTCAACAGCCATGGATCCAGAATGCAACGCTGCAAGAAAATGTACTGTTCGGACAATCACATGATCCACAACGCTACGATCACGTGATAAGGGCGTGCGCTCTTACTCCTGATATTGATATACTTTCCGCTGGGGATCTAACTGAAATCGGTGAAAAGGTGCGAAATTTGCTGACCTTAGCCGAATGAGAAAGTGACTGTTTCTCGTGCTGCATGTTTGTATGTCGTCTAACTGTGGAATGATACATATGGTGCTTTTGTCTTTAAGGGTATTAACCTTAGTGGAGGACAGAAACAGCGAGTGAGCTTGGCTCGTTCAGTGTATTTTGACGCTGATATCTATCTGTTGGATGATCCACTCAGTGCTGTAGATTCACATGTAGGAAAACACATCTTTGATCACGTGATTGGACCCCAGGGATTACTGAAGGAAAAGGTACCAACGACATCTCCTAAAGAAGACAGAAAATATTTACTGTTAGTACAATGTAACTTGCAGCATATGCTGTATGCACTTGCTTGAAGAATGTATTTTTTCCATTCAATAACTCACTGACAATTATCTTTCAAACCTGTTTTCGTCTCAAACTAACGGTTTAGAGTAATGCTGTGCTACTGATCAGTAACATCTGTCACTGAAAGATGTTGTAATATTTGTTGCTAAGTAATGATGTTATTATTTCATTTCAGACTCGTGTTCTTGTGACACACGCTGTGCAGTATTTACCACATATGGACCAGATCATTGTACTTCAGGATGGTGTAATCTCAGAGGTGTATGCTTGTTATAAGAGTTTTTCTACCCCGCCCCACCTCCTCTTTCCATAAATAAAGACTTCGTTTCACTTTAGAATGTGCCGTATTATCAAGAAAGTTTGCTCTTTTGTACCATGCTTACGGTGTGAACAGGATGTAATTTGAGAAGAGCAGAGTAACATCGTGTGGTCTGCAATGGGAAAGAGGTCAATTGATATGAACCGTCCTCTTTTACTATCCAACATGACAAACTTTCTGTAAGGTTGGTTTAGCGTATTGTATTTTATCAGTAACTTGAGCTGTGCTGTACCTGCAGGTTGGGACGTATGAAGAACTTAAGTCATCCCATGGCTGGTTTGCGGAATTTCTTGACTCCTACGCCAGTGAAAATGGTTGCCATAACAGCAGTAAAAGTAAGTAATTTTACTGGTTGAAACCGAGAGCAAAAGAAAGAGAGGTTACTTAGTTAAGGCGAATCAAAGACCCCGTAAAAGCGGGAATAAATACAGAAGAGCTAAATACCTACAAATAACTTATTATATTAAAAACTTAAAACCCAACTCGAAATCAATGCTTGCCGATTTGAACTGGCCTCCATTGCAGTCAAGGCGCAGGATATGCGGTCTCTGCATGATTTATAAAATACATAAAGGTCCAGCTAGTCAACATCTCCCTTCCCTAAGACCTCATCTCCGTACAAAGGCCAGTCATGACTTTAAGATCAGACTCCCATCCTCTTCAGTTGGCGCTTACAAACACTCTTTTGATGCAAGATCAATCCCCGTATGGAACTTGTTGCCAGCTGCCGTTGTTAGTTCTTCATCGTACCCAGAATTCATCAGAAGAGTGTGTCTACTAATTTAACATAATAATGGCATTTACAGCGTTGTTTTTCATTTGTTCTGTTACCGTGTAATTAAGCGACCGCTGGCCGCTCCACTGCCGGATTAGCATTATTTGTAAAGCTAGTGGCAATTACCATGATTAAAGATTAAAAATTGTGCTACATCCTTCCAAGGGCAATCATTTAATCTAATGTTCAAATTCTTCTGTCTTCATAAATGGCAATGCTTATCGCTAACTTCAGTTCTTGTTTGTATGACAGTGAGAGGTCAGACCCGCCGGGAAGTTAGTGGCTCCAGTCCATCGGCAGAAATACCCAATAAGCCCGCATTCCATCGGTCGGTCAGCTGTCATCTCCCTGGCAACGTGCCTCATCCACGTCACCAAGCTGCTACTTCACACAGTGAAGTGAACTTAGAGAGACTTGCAGCTGACAAGCACACTGTAAAACATTCCCCGATTAAACAGTTACAACAGCTAGAAAGACAAGAGAGTTTAGCTAGTTTACTTTCGTTAAACCACCAACTATCGTTATGTGAAGGGATGGACGCAAATGATTTGGTGGAGGAAGAATTCTTGTTTGATGGCCGAGAAATAGATGAAGGTGATGAAAGGCATCTGCAAGTAAAGCCATTACTGCAACAGCGGCATAGTATGGTCAGCGGTATTTCTGTAAATAGTTTATTGTCAATGGTTGAGAAAGTTAATCACGTGACTGATACACAAGTATGCCCTGGTAATCCAGCAATCTGTATAACAGCTTCTGAAGATGGCCAAGTAGAAAGACAGAATGTAGTTAGTAAAGAACAACTACGAAATATGGAATGTCCAACTAAAATCAGAAAGGGAAGAAGCGATACAGCAAGGACAACTTCAGATGAAAGATCTCAGGCTGGAACGGTAACTAGTTTATTTGTATCCTCACAAAGCTACAGCTTTCTATTGTACTTGCCGTCTTAATTACCATATCTAAATTTTCGCGTCCAGAAAGGTTTATGTGGAGAAAACTTGTCCCTCGCCTCTTCAAGCTACCCTGGGCGCCGAGCTATCTATTCTTACATTTTCTTTCAAAACTTGGCGAACGATTTGCATGAGAAACAAATAGTTGCAAGGCTAGAAGGATGATCCGCCTAGCCGGGAAAACTTGGTCAAGGTCTAGGCAATCAGAACATTCACGAGTACTGTAGGAACTTGTAGGGCAGGGGTCAACCTTATTCTCATGTAAACACTCGCCAACGTTAACTCGGATGGGAGGGTAACCCTCTTTCCGGGAAAAATTATTCTCCTTGAAAACGGCATGGGCCTGGGGGAGGTTCTTGCCTTTTCATATATGAACCTCCTTATCAACTGATTTTTAGTTACCATTCCTTTGACAGTAAAATATTCATTTAAAAAGTTTTTACAAATGAAAGTAGTGGTTTCCTGTTTGGGATTGTATTTCTATCTAATCTGGTCAATTAATTGTTTGTTTGTTCCTTTCTTTCTTTTGAGGTTAAAACTTCTGTTATAGTTGCATACATTAGCAGCCTTGGAGTTCTGTGTTTCATTCTTGTTCTCTTCTGTGGCGTTGGTGCAGAATCCTCTCTTATCGCTTCACGTATATGGTTAGCAAAATGGAGTTCCACCAATGTCACAACATCACAGCAGCGTGACACCTTCCTTGGCGTGTATGGTGCTTTTGGAGTGGGCCAGCTTCTTCTTATCACCACCATGAACCTACTTCTAGCCTACAGTTCAGTGAAAGCTGCCACAAATTTACATCAAGGACTTCTTATTAACATAATGCACCTTCCCATGCAATTTTTTGAGAGCACGCCATTGGGAAGGATCGTAAATCGCTTTTCAAAAGACATTAATTCCGTTGATGATAAGCTTCCACCTATTCTGGGTCGATTTTTAAGAACACTATTGGCTACGCTTGGCACTATATGTGTGATTAGTTATTCCACGCCGTTGTTTCTCACGTGTGTTGCGCCTTTGACTGTTCTATACATTTTTATTCAGGTACGTTACGAGGGGCTTGTGGATTATATGGTATAATTATAACCTATCAGATTGGTGGATTCTACCCTCCTTGTCAAAAACTGCTCCAACAAAGGGTCCTGTTAAAAGATTTACTTTAACATTCTGGGGCAATGATGGTGAATCTTTGTTTACAGGATTGCAAAAGAGGAGAGCTCGTGTTTTTTTTTATAAATAGCCATGAGTAAATTTCGTAACTGAGTTCGTAACGAGCACCTGACCATAGATTGTGTTAACTGCCTGCACATTTTTAAAACAAACCTGTTAAAAATAATTACACCAACTTAAATACTGGAGGGTAAGTATTGCAAAGGTAGCAACAGAGGAGGTATTGCGAATGCAAATGGTAATGCCTCTCAAACCCCCATATATCGCATATACAAATGGCCATTATTGTTTAGTTACGTTGATTTAGCTCGGCGTAGTTTCACTCCACTGGCTAAATAAGACTTAAGACCATTGCCGGACTAGTCAGTTAGCAAATAAAATCGGCTTTTTTCAAAGTGCTTTTGCAGAAAAACCATCTCCTTGGTGTATGATAAATTGTTTAAGATTTGACTGATCTGGCTGGATAGTTTTGATTTAAAGTGAAATTCTCAATACGATAGGAACGGTCTGGCCAGTCAGTTCTGACAAATGGAAAGCGTCCTTTAGTAACCTTACTGCGTAAATTACTATAATGTATATGGTAAATTAATCGAGTGAATTGATTTTTCAGAGATTTTATGTGTCTACATCACGCCAACTCAGGAGAATTGAGTCAGTGAGCCGTTCACCGATATATAGTCATTTTTTTGAAACCATCAGTGGTACCAGCACAATAAGGGCCTATTCACAACAGAAGAGGTTCATCACAGAGATTCATCGGCGAGTAGATAAGGCACATTCGGCGCATTACGCATACATCTGTGCAAACAGGTGAGTGACTTACTTATAAGACCCATCAACAGTGTACGCTATATATTAACTTGTTTTCGCTCATTAACTTATGTAAAGTGATAGTAAAGGTGAATTATTTTTATCGGCGTTTTTAGGTGAGCTTGTTCTGAAGGGTAGCTGCTTAGTACACGTTCTGCTTGTCGGTGGACTGCTGTCCTCCCTCCCCCCCATTTCCGCACAGGTCTGCCCCCTTCACACAATTCTCCTCCGGTTTAGGTCAAATTTGTTTGCTTGTATCTGTTGCAGGTGGTTAGCTCTACGGCTGGAGTTTATTGGTGCTGCAATCTTGTTCTTTGCTTCATTATTTGCTGTTATTGCAAGGGAAACCATTGCACCTGGTCTTGTTGGGTTGTCTGTGGCATATGCATTACAGGTAGATACTTACTCAGCTCTTTTTATATTCACCTCCGATAATTTGATAACGTTAATATTTCCCACTTTATTGTTTTCCATACTATCCTTCCCGTTTACCTCTTCCATTAATTAGTGTTAGGCACTTCGTGTAGATTACGTGATATGAATGAGATTGATAAACATTGGTTGCTTTCTCATCAACAACCTTAAATACACGGCTTCAGTTAATGTCAAGTTGTAACCCATGGTATAAAGGCGATGGTCCAGGGTGTGGCACATCTAAAAGGCTGCCGCGATTGGACCAATCCCATCATTGCTACAAACGTGTGCACCTGTGAACATGCGTTTTTACTGGCTTATCATGAAAAGAATTTTACTGAGGCAAGCTGCAGTTAAGAATTCTGATGTGACAGCAGCTAACATCCTAAACTTGTAGCTAACGTTCGTGTTTGTTCCCAGATCACTGGCTCATTAAACTGGTTGGTGAGATCGACCAGTGAAATGGAAACGAATATTGTTTCAGTGGAAAGAATCACCGAATATACAGCTATTGACAGAGAGGTACGTAAATACATGGCAAGCACGATTTTACAATATCTTATCATCCTTAAAAACATCATTTTGTAATTTGAGACTTGTGGATCCTGTGAATTTTTGATAGCCACGGAACACAACAGTACTGTATATTACAAAAATCGCTTCTAAACGTCTGCGCATGTCGCGTGCGCAGTTTTGGTTTTCTCGTTTATTATCTTTATCATTATTATAATTATCTTTTACTGTCTTTGTGTGAGATTAATTAATCAAGCCGAGGTGGTGAGTTTACTTGCTCTTTGCAAGACGAAGCAGCTATGGTCATATTTTCTAATTGTTTTTTGACAGGCGGATTGGGTAATTCCAACTATGCGTCCCGCCGACGAATGGCCCCATCAAGGAAGGATAGTTGTGGAAAATGTTGATGTGCGCTACAGAGAAAATCTGCCTTTAGTGCTGAAAGGCATCAACTGTGCCATAGCAACAAGAGAGAAGGTAAAAAGCGGTACACATCAAAGAAAGTTTATCTTTACAACTATAGAAGTGACACACGAAAAACCAAGATTTAGTTAGTATGAAAGACACTTTTTTCTTAGGTTTTGCCTTGATCTGAATGGCTAATGCTCAAAGGTTTAAAATTGCTCATTAATTGGATGTGGTCATGGAGCTTTTGGCAACTAAACCACGTTACTTCTTTGCTGTCTGTTTGGTGTGTGCTGTCACATTTAAAGTTTTTATTTTGTTTTTATAGATCGGTATTGTGGGTCGCACTGGGGCTGGCAAGTCTTCACTGACTTTGGCTTTGTTCCGTATTCTGGAGAGAGCTGGAGGAAGGATTATTATTGATGACATTGACATTGCTAAAATTGGACTCCATCATCTGCGCTCAAGACTCACCATAATTCCCCAGGTAGTAACATGTAGGCACGTGTAGCGTGCAGAGGTTTTTTGAATTATTTTAGCGGAGCTCCACGCGTGCGCGAAGCCCCATAGCTAAAAAAAATGGGTTACCTGTCTATCCAAGAAATTTTGGTAGTCACGTGACCGTACGACCACTCGCCCGTCCCATACAATGGGAAATGGTACACTTTCTAGCTAGTGTGTCTGCAACCTGATATTGCACATCCATATTGTAGTCAACCAGAAGTCAATTGACAGCTATTAAAACAGGGTATCCGCTGACAAGTATCACATGACCGTTTCGCGGGCTCAGGTGTCGACCCATCGAGGTTACCTGTTTTTTTAAAGTTTACCGCTGACAAGTTTCTAGGTTTTTCTTTAGTGCAATGTTTTTTCATTAACAGGTGCTTCGCCTTAAGCGTCGGCTAAATCTATATATTAGCTAATGAGGTAGAATCTGAAGGCTCGGCCGTGTTCTGCTCTGTTTCACCGGGTTCGTACAGGTCATGGAAAACCTGGAAAGTCGTGGAATTTAAGAATTTCATTTTCAAGGCCTGGAAAGTCATGGAATTTAATTTTCGGTCGTTAAAAGTCATGGAAAATTATAGTTTCACCTTTGTGTGGTAGATTAGTAATACTGCAGATGACAAAGCAAGGATAACGTAAGATAAAGAGGAGTAATTAAACAGCGCGAACGGCACGCATTTTGATGGATACCAGAGTTTGTTTCTGTTCTGTTTCTGTTGAACTGTTTAAGGGCCAAAAATATGCTAAAACAGGTAAAGTTTTCAAATGTTTCGAAAGTGACAGCTAAACCTAAGGTTATGGAAAAGTAGAAAAGGTCATGGAAAAAGTCATGGAATTTGAAGAACTCAAAAAAGTACGATCCCTGTTTCATGAGACGCTGATTAGACATTCTTTTGATTACTGATGAGTATTTGAATTGAGTATGAGAACTTTCGTATATCACTAACACTAAGTAGAGATTATCTTTGAGGAAGCGAACGATCGCTGTTTATGCTACAGTCTGCGGATATCTTTATTATCTATTTACTTACGTCAGAGATCTCATCTATTTACTTTGTCATTTAATTATCCGAACCGTACCTTCTTCATTCGATCTTAGAAGCTTGTTCACTCAGTATGTATTTTGTGTGAATTGTTGTTCTCCCAGGACCCTGTGCTATTTTCTGGAACTTTTCGTTTCAACCTGGATCCATTCAATAATTACTCAGACGAGGAATTGTGGAACGTTGTGGAGGTTACCCAGCTAAAGACCTTTATAACGACTCATGATAAAGGCCTTCACTTGCCTATCCTTGAGGGTGGCGAAAATATGAGGTAAGTCCTCACTAACTTTTTGATTAATTTTTGTGAAGGGGGCTAGTTGCCATCGCCAAAAAATCTGTATATGGGGATAGTTACTTTATTATTGTCCCATGGTCATACTAAGAGTGTCGATGATGTCAATATATTGAGCAAAACCAATTTCAACTGCTGTAAACATCACCAAGAGCGGAATAGCGTAGACAAAGCGTAGGTAGTGTTACCGAACAATATTCGCTCCTTGTTTACAGCATTGGTCAGCGACAGTTGCATACAAATCGTGCACGCAACGAAGCATCTTCATTTTAGGAACAAGAACTACTTCGGTGTCGGCGCCACCTGGACCTTTGACTACTTGAGTAAGTTGTTTGCTAAGCCGCCCTCAAACGACTGGCCACGGTTCTCACTATTGCTCACAGGCTCAACACCATCATGGATTACGATCGGTAAGAGAAGTTACCTTTAGTGCTGGTTATGTAGTTCTTTGTCTTATGCTCTTTACACCTCTCACTTATAGTCTTTTTCGACTTTTGCAACTTTCCCTACTGAGTTGGAACGCTTCCCTTTTAAATTTTCACATAAAGTCTTTCTGTCCTCCTCCCCCGTCCGTCCCAAACATTTTATCATGTCTCTGCTGCGGTTTTTTGTTCTTCAGGGTGATGGTCCTTAAGGAGGGATCAGTAGCAGAATTTGATTCACCATCAAAGTTGCTATCAAGTAAAGGATTATTTTACTTGATGGCCAAAGATGCTGGTCTAGTGTAACAAACAGGTTCTCAAAAGTCCTTGGAAGGAAGTAAGAGCAGTGGTGTGAAGCCGGCACACCAGTAAAGAAATGACTCGACAATCAGTCAATAAAAGTGTCGAAAGCGATCCATAGCCATTTGATATGTGCACTATGGGTTATAATGCATATGTCGCGATGTCCTGTCGACCGTCGTGGCACCGTTTCTACGTATAAGTTACAAACTAAACGTCGCTTTAAAACGATCCTTTATGTTGGTCCATCCTCATTTAACATTACACATCAAGCATTGTTGAAAGTAGCAACAACAACACAAACAAAGAACAAAAACAAATACATAAATAAATAATTTTAATATAGAAAATAATAGTCGTAATATTACTAATAACAATTTATATCGCACGAATTTCATAAGCATGCAAGATGAATTACATTGTACGAAGATAAGGGTAAGAAAGTAGATAAAAGGCACCAATCTTTTTCTTAGCGTGGTGGTTGCGTTTTTTAACTGCGTTTATCAGTAGCAAAGATTGAACCAAGGTAGTCCATAGTTTTGCTCAAAAAATAGCAATTTCTCCATCTTTTTATTTTAGGCAAAATAGGCCAGGAAAATGTTTCACGATTTTCTACAAAGAAAAAACGTATTTCTCGCCAATAAAAACAAGAATTTTAACAGACGAAAATTCTGCTTTTTCCAAAGGGGTTAGTCCATGGTTTTGGTAAAAAATAGGTCACTTTAACATCTTTTTATTTTAGGCAAAATAGGCCAAGAAAATGTCTTTCACGATATTCTAGAAAGAAAAAAAAACACCTTTCTAGACTATAAAAACAAAAAGTTAAAAAAGTCGACAAATTTCGACTTTTCCAAACCCGGGTTAGTTCATGGTTTTCGTAAAAACTTGCGAATTTTCCCATCTTTTTACTTTAGGCAAAATAGGCCAGAAAAAATTAGTTTCACGATATTCTAGAACGAAAAGACGCCTTTCTAGGCTATAAAAACAAGAAGTAGAAAAAGTCGAAAAATTGAGATTTTTCCCAAGGAGTTAGTCCATGGTTTTCGTCAAAAATTGGCCATTTTTCCATTTTTTTTATTTTAGGCAATATAGGCCAGGAGAATGTGTTTTACCATATTCTCAAACGAAAAAACGCCTTTCTAAACTATAAAACGGTCCCAAAATTGATATTTTTTCTAAGGGGTTAGTCCATAGTCTTGGTCAAAAATTGGTCACATTTTAATGTTTTTATTTTCGTCAATATTCACAAGGATATTGTGTTTCACAATATTTTAGAACGAAAAAACGCCTTTCTATGCTATAAAAACAAAAAATTGAAACAATCGAAACATTGAGATTTTTTCAAAGGGGTTAGTCCATGGTTTTAGCCAAAAGTAGGCCATATTTATCGTTTCCTTTATTTGAGACAATATAGGTCAGGAAAACTTGTTTTATCATATTCTAGAAGGAAAAAACGCCTTTCTAGACATTAAAAACAAGACGTTTGTAAAGTCGAAAAATTGAGCTTTTTCAAAAGGGGTTAGTCCATAGTTCAATAACAACGAAAAAACACCTTTCTAGCTAGGCAGTAAAAACAACAAGTTCACAAAGGCGAAAAATTGAGATTTTTCCAAAGCGGTTAGTTCATGTTCTTTTTTTCAAAAATTGGACTTTTGTCCATGTTTTTATTTCCGGCAATATAGGCCAGGAAAATGTCTTTGACGATAGTCTAGAACGAAAAAACGCCTTTCTAGACTATCAAAACAAGAAGTTCAAACAGTCGAAAAATTGCCATTTTTCCAAAGGGTTTAGTCCATGG